CTAGTCTACCTTCTTATAAATAAAAATCAACAAGAAAAGAGGAATTGAAATATGCACTTCCGCAATACGCACAATCTTGCACAAAAAATCGGTCGAGGAAAAAAAACCAAAAAAAAAAAAAGCCTTTGCGCCCTAAGTGGATTCGAACCACCGCCACCGAGATGTAGGCATCGCCGGCATCGCCAGAGCAGCGCCTTGTACCGCTCGTCCACGAAATCTCGCGGAGTAACACAATTTTGTGTGTTTTTTCATGCGTCATTTTGGAACTTTCAAGCGCAGATGCGCAGATTTTGGTATGCCAGTTATCGTGTAATGCTATGCTAGATAAAAAGACTGCGTGCAAATAAAAGCAAAAATAGGGAAAACTGTGTCAGATTGGACGGTCTCTTTGGCGAAAAGAAAATCCGGTTGCTGTACCTCTTTTACTATACAAAAGTTCGTACTGGTGTAGGCCTTTAGCGACCATGAGTGGAAGTCTGAAATAATAAATAAAAACGTGCTCTCCTGCCGCAATACACGCAGTAGTTGAGGGTAGTACTGCCGGCTGACTCAACTGCTATTTAAGTAACGGAAAAAAGATATGCTAGTTTATCATGTAGCAAAAAAAAAAAAAGGCTGATTTTGGAGTAGCCACAACTATTCTAAGAACGCGAACCACTTCACAACGGCAGCCACGAGCGAAAGTTCGGTGTTCGGTAGAGCCCGCCGATACAGCCCAAAGGTGGGGAACGGCAACCTCCTGGTTTGTCGTCTGCTAGCGGAGTCGGCGGCGTGCCCTCTCTCTCGTTTTACCCCGACGAACCCGCTGAACTTCCCGGATGTGTGGAGAGGGCGCTGCTGTCGAACAAAATGGTGCCGCCCAGAGAGCGCTAAATGGAATGGTCTATAGGTGGCTAATGGTAACAATCAGTCGGCTAATTAATGAAGATTTGCTAATTAACTTTGCTGCCCCTGATTTATATCCTTCTACGATCTCTACGGGCCACCAAGCACGCCCTCTACTTCATTCACTCCTAAGCTGACGGTGGAGTGGAAGCTACATGCTCGTTAGACCATTCGTACACTGGTATTTTGCCACATGATAACACTCCCGCCCATACAAACGTGCATTGAGTGGCATCGAGGGATGAAAGGGGGGCGGTCAATTGGTCCGGCGGGCACGTAGCTCCCACGGCACCATCAGCTTAAGGGTGAACCTAGTGTGATGTATGCATTATTGTTAACAAGGGCTGTAGGCCTTTGTAACAATGCAGAGGGCCAGAGGTTCCTCGAGATTAAGAATTTGATGACCTCTGCATTAAAATGCCTTCTTTTTATTTTCTGCACTTTAACCATTTATTTTAAATTTATAAACCATTCCATTTAGCGCTCTCTGGGCGGCACCATTTTGTTCGACAGCAGCGCCCTCTCCACACATCCGGGAAGTTCAGCGGGTTCGGCGGGGTAAAACGAGAGAGAGGGCACGCCGCCGACTCCGCTAGCAGACGACAAACCGGGAGGTTGCCGTTCTCCATATTTGGGCTGTATCGGCGGGCTGTCCGGAACATCGAACTCTCGCTCGTGGCTGCCGTTGTGAAGTGGTTCGCGTTCTTAGAATAGTTATGGCTGCTCCAAAATCAGTCTAGAGCTCTGTTGTTCTACTTCGGTAAATGATCAACTGACATATTTTTTTCCGTTACTTAAATAGCAGTTGAGTCAGCCGGCAGTACTATACCTCAACTACTGCGTGTATTGCGGCAGGAGAGCACGTTTTTATTTATTATTTCAGACATCCACTCAATGTCGCTAAAGGGGTGTTCACACGAGGGAGAAATCCCGGGGATTTCTCCATGGCACGCGCATCCCACGACGAAAACGGCAGGCTTTGCGATGCGCAAAAGCCTCGCGTTTTCATCTCGTGATGCGCGCGTGTCGGGGAGAAATCCCCGGGATTTCTCCCTCGTGTGAATACCCCTTAAGGGCCTACACCAGTACGAACTTTGTATAGTAAAAAAGGTACAGCCACTGGATTCACTCTTCGCCGGAGAGACCGGGCAGTCTGACACAGTTTTCCCTATTTTTTTTTTATTTGCACGCAGATAACAGCGCGATTGGACTCTGTTAGTTTTTTTTTCTATCTAGCATAGTAATACACAATAACTGGCATACCAAAATCTGCGCATCTGCGTTTGAAATTCCCAAAATGACGCCATTTTAAACAGAGTTTGTACGCCAGCGGGATGCTAGGTACTGCCCACTCGGCGGAGCAGACGACATGCGGGCGAGAGCATTTTTTTTTTCTCTTTTTACCCTCTCTGCTATGACCCAAATAAAACGGTCTACAAAAAAAAAAAAAAAAAAAAAAAAGAACGCGCGCATTTTTTGGAAAGAGTAGCAGTTGCGCACGCGTACGTTTTCAGTGAGGACATGGACTACGCTAACAGAGCGGATTTCCTCCTAGCCTCCTAGCTGTGGTCCCTTCCCCTTTGTTCTTTTAGGGAGATTTAGGAGGGGACACGGCAGCAGCGGAGGCATGGATAACTTGGCAAACTGTGGAGGCTAGGGCTCCGCGACCCAATAAGAGCGTCGGAGCGAGGCACGTGACCTGACGTCACGGGAGCATTTGTGTCACTACGCCAAATGCGAGGCGCGAGGCCCGGAGAAACCGGCTGTTGTCTGCTGGGTAACAATCGTCTGCTCCGAAACCAACGAACTTCGGATGAACGGCCCCGGCAGCAACATTTCCGTCCGCTACAATAGCGAGCACTTCGGGAACAGTTCGTGAGACAACCGTACGGTCAATTTAGCCGCAAATCTGTGATGGGGGCTAATGCCAGGGCACAGTGCGATGTTTTGAGCGGAAACGGACGATTACACCGCTGGGATCGCCAACGGCCACGGCGCTACAAGGGGAAAAGGAAATCGGGAACGGATACAGATGTGGCTCCACTTTTAATGTGAAAGTAATAAATCTCATGGAGCGAGCCGACGTCATCTGAAGCGCGAAAACGGCACCTCAAATCCTTTCACCAAGTGTAGCCAGCTCCCAGCTATGAAACCACGCGAAAAGCCTAGACACGGCACCTTGTTTCCGCGATCCCAAAGCAGCGAAGTGAAGCTGATGAATTTTCGGCTTCGGTCCCATTGGCTGGCACGCGTCGACGAGGCTCCCATTGGCCGCTGCGCATTAGTTTCAACGATCACCCACCTGATGGCGCGGCGTGTCCGCGAGGAAGTGGCTCCACCTTTCCAAGCCCAAGGTCAGCGCGCCGTACGCCGCAGACGAAAGCAGGAAGCGAAGGGCGGCGTGCGTGCTTTCGCATTCACAACTCATAAGAAGTGCTTAAGTGTACCTCGAGCCTTTTTTTTTTTTTTGCTTAAATATAATTGAAAATTATTAATTTGTAATTATATCTTATTTATTCTTTATATCTTCTCGTTAGAAATGAAATCGCGCAAATTCAGTTGCCGCTAAAAAAAAATTGACGCATCTCCACGTGGTGAATGATGTTGATTGGAGCGAAGCTCTGGTGGTGCATGTCTGTGTAGACGCTGAGCCGCAGCATGCCGAGCCTTTCGTTCATTTTCATCCATGTCAGAAGGAGAATGTGTGGTGTAAAACATGGTTATATACGCATTTGAGCATTTGACCGCAGCGCCCTCTCGTCTATAAACGTTGAGCCAATGCATGCAAAGTTTAACGCGATTATATGCGCGTTAGACCACAGCGCCCTCTTCTGTATAGACGTTGAGCGGCTACATGCAACGTTTCATCCATGACATCCCAGCTGTTGAGTTACTACCACATCTCGGAGCTGTCACTCGTCCCGCAGTCGTGGCCGAGTGGCTAAGGACTAGAAATCCATTGGGGTCTCTCCCCGCACAGGTTCGAATCCTGTCGACTGCGCAAACATTTTTTTTCATCATTTTTTTTTTGCCCTACACGAGCACGTGAGCACGTGAGCACGTGAGCTCACGAGCACGAGCACCAGCAAGATCGATGTGAGCACGGACGCCGGACGGGCAAGGCTAGACCCTAAGGAGCTTCGCCCCTAAAAAAAGCTTGGAATTATTTTTTTATGGACGGCGTTATTGCTGTGGCGGTAACGAGGCCCCCGCGGCCTCGACCATGGTGTTATCACGTGTCTTGCTCCGGTGCTCTTATTGGGTCGCGTGGGCCGCAACCTCCACAGTTCGCCAAGTTATCCTGAAACGGAGTATAGCTGTCCGGGCCCACGTGATAAGCACGCTTCAAACTTCTGTACAAAAACGCAAGCGAAAAAACAAACAATTAAACAAGCATTATAGCAAACCGGTTTGGGGGAAAACCTCGACTCCTTCTGCAGTACAGTAAATGCTGCAACCGCAGAAAAAGTGTCCTGTTGTGGCAGCCTTTTATTGAATGCGGCACCGGGCGAATTCATTGCAGAAAGCGGCCGTGTTGCTCTGGTCGATTTTCTGCACTATACACCCGTGTCATGTAAGAAACGCGACCTACGTATTTAACCCGGCCAACGTAAACTTCGAACAAGAAGCAACATTTCATCATTTTCGAGTACCAGTGCAAGGGTGGAATTGCATTGTAGTATAAGTTATGGATTCCCAAAAAATTCTAAGTAAGACTGCCCGGCGACCAGGTTTATAAGTTCCAGTTTTCAGGGGGTGGAGAATTTCGGCAGCGAATAAATGTGGCAAGGTCAGAAGGGGAAAAATGATGATTTGTTTAGTTAAAATATATTTGATTTAAATCCGATTAATTCTATTTAAATCACCGTAACTCGAATATAGCGATACTTTATCACAAGATCTATTTTTAAAGGGGGATCGCTGGTCGTTTGCGTTAAAGCACCGGAGAGAAAGCTCGCCTTGCATAACCCAGAATTCTGGGTTCAGCCCCCCCCCCCCCCCCCCCCCCCCCTTTGCCCGTTTTGATTGGATGATCATCGTACGGGCGTGTACTTACATCACTATCGCGCGGTGCACGCCAGGCTAGCGCTTGTGCTGCACTACTAAATTTCTCCCCAATGACACTGACAAATTTTATTAAATACAACAACAACAACAACAGATGAAAGGTTTTTAGTGGGTGCCTCCCATTAAGGGGGTCTTTTAAAAAAAATTGTGTTACAAGCAAAGAGAAACACATTGTATAACATGGCGACACATATATCACCTTACTTTCTAATTTCTTCATATTTATTTTCGGGTTACGTGTATACTTAAAAATATTGTCGAGGAACTGTCGCTTGCGTGTCAGATACGCGGACTCCTTTTTTTTCACTTCGAACCTGAGGTTACTGGGAAGATAACGATCGACAGTGTCTCATGGTGACCACTGTGTTGTGGCTTTATGTGCGTGAAGGTTTAGTGTCACGTCAGCATGTTTCGAATCATGGAGTGCAGCGGGAACTTTCCCTCCCCGCAGGTTCCCTCTGCGTCGTCGTCGTTGAGGGAAAATGTCATGATGCCTCCAAAGTTCCTGGCCTTTATCCAGACAACCTACAGAAAATAAGAAAAAAAGAAACACGTCTACTTTACTCTGTCATCCGGGCATTACCTTCTAACTACTGTGGCAGGAGCGCGTCTTCAAAAGTGGTCCCGCAGCTCTGTACCGAAGCGGCAACATATTGCATCAAAGAAGCCCGCGTGGCAAGTTGTCGTCGGATGGGCGCGATCCTGGCGGTCGGTCCTAGAAGTTCCGTCGAAAAACGGCCAACGGACGCGAGGGTCGCTGTCGTCGCGGCATCCTATCTCGCGTCTGCTCTGGTTTCCGTCTGCTGTCCGACCGCAGGGCGACTTGCAGTGAACAAGTGTCCGCCGCGTCGACTTTCGCTGCTCTGCCACTATACCCGGGGCCGAATCGTGGCAGGGGACAGAATGACACTTGCGTGACATCCTCAGTTGATGACGCCACTAGGCAGAAATCGAGGGACCACTTTGGAGGACGCTGCAACATACACCAGTCAGAGACGTGTCCCACGCACCATAACTTATGTGGAGCGCAAGTTTGTCTGCTTGTTTTGCAGGGGTTGTGGTGACGTCAGAACAACATCGAGCTCTGATTGCTTCTGAATTAAGGATAGTGGGTAGACCTCAAGGCAGCTTGCTTTGAGGTTTACCAACTGTCCTTTAATCAGAGCCAATCAGAGCTCGGAGTCTTTCTGACGTCACCGCAACTTCTGCGCAAAAAGCAGACGACTTGCTCTCCAGACACAATTTTCTCGCGATAATGTTGTCTCTCCCCCGTAAGTTTGGCTCTTTCTGTCGTTAGCGATAATTGACTGTTAGTGATCTTCGCAACAAAGTTGAAGCACGGGCTATGTTCGCGAACGCAGGTGCGTCTTTTGCTCAAAACAGGAAGTGTACAAAACGACATTGACGCCAGCCTTCGCGTCTATTTGTAAACATGGCATTCGCCAGATGTTGTCCCAAAAATTTGACCAATAAAACAGGCTGCGGCACGTAAGAGGGTTTTACTGCTGCTCGTTTCGCAACTTTCATGCGACGGATTAATATCGCGCAGAGTTTTTTTTTTTTTTTTTTTTTTTTAAGTAATATTTTTGTTACTCGGAAGTTTTCGGAAGGTAGCAGGCAACATCACACAAACAAACCACCAACCGAAAAATTAAAGTGAGGCAAACGGTTAGGAGATTGTACTGGTACAAATACATGTTTTTAATGCTAACTATTGTTCATCTTTTTAAAAGGAAAAAGTTATCCTATCTGTGAACCATAGAATAAAATATTATATTTATGTTTGGTTTTTAATTTATTTTTTCACTCTACACTATCATAGTTGGTTTTAAATTCCGAAGTTCTGATTAAATTAAGCTAACTTGTACACGTTGAATTTCGTCTCCGAAGAACATTTCCAAGGTCCCTGTCGACTCGACTGCACCACAGGTTAAAAAAAAAGAAAAAAAACAAAAAAAAAAAACAGGACATGTTTTTTTTACGAAGCTCTCCACTCTTTCCACTTTAGCAGAGAAAACAGGGAAAAGGAGGAAAGTGGAGAGGAGGAAACCATCAATCGTAGCAAGCAGAGAACATTGTGGGAGGAGCATGCACTGCTTTTCTTAAGCTGCAACAGAATGTTGTTATACCTTTTTTTGTTTTTTATATAGTAGGATTTTTTTCTCCTCTACATAGCCTCAGCAAAGGCTGCCCAGGAATTCTGGTTGTCTAAGATCGATAATCAAGAGTGTTAGTGATTGTGCGATACGATCACTGCCAGGTGATAATGATGACTAGAAGCCTTATGGCACAAAATCTGCCATAGGCCAAAGTGCGCCAAACTAGGTTACAACTGCCAAGAAGTCGGATACCTGGTTCTTTATGTGAAAACGAATACGTGACGCAGTGATGGTGAGTACCTTGGAGCGAATGCTGATGAAGTCGTCGTAACCGACCCAGGTGACGTTCTGGAAAGCGTACAACACCTGGCTCTCGTCGTCGAAAGCTCGGGTCGCTCCGCCTCGCAGGAAATCGCACACCTGGAAACCATCGTGATTTGGGTAGGTGGGTAGAAATGCAAAATATTGTAGGAACATTTGAAAATTGGTTTTAGCAAAAGTAATCCAGCAATCTCTGGAAAGATACCGACATAGATCAAGAACGGCAAGAGTAGTTCGCCAGTTTTTTTTGTTTTTTTTTGCGGTAGTACTATTAAGTAGTAACGTTTAGCTTTAAATGTTTATGAGAGCTTTGTCAATTTAGTAGATTTTTTACTACGCATATGGCAATACCATTTCTCCTTATCATGCTAAACGTTGTATTGGGATTCCTGTAACGCTTAACTTGTAAGCATCGTTCGTCAATTATGATCAATTAGTACACAAAACGATGTGCACATGGTGGTGCAGTAGCAGAGGCTTGGTTGCGTGGTATACAAGTATCATGGTTTTCGTTGACTAAGGGCGTGACAATCTATTGACCGGCAAATATGAGATTAATGACATAAAACATTGGCTTCTTCACGTGTGCACATACACGAACAAATATCAGGCAGCACTATGTATCACACACCTGTGCATTAAAGTTGTCTTCTCAATTTTATTTTGATATATTTTTTTAACATTTATAGCCTTACTGCGGCACCAGTTCATACTGAACAGAATAACAATCCTCATTCGGTGTATGATTTTAGGACAATTCAAACAGTTTGACCACGAGTAGAATCAGCAGACAACCAAAAGCGCTTGTGCTCCCTCCCAATTTCCATTGCTCCGTCACCGCACCGTTTCTTTTTATGGACTAACAAATCTAATATATGGCACATGTGTATTTAATCGTCCGCCTGCACCGTCGACAAAATGACGTGCGATATGAATTTTTTTCGTTTCGACGTAGTGGGCCTCGTCTTTTTCTGTTTTTTTTTTGTGGTTTTTATAAAAAAAAAAGAAAAAAAGGCTTTTACGCCAAAACTTTTTGTTTGTTTTTCATGCCATCCCATCAATAGCCGTGGGGGGAGGGGGGCGTAATGCTAGTGGAAGCAGCCTCTAGAGGCCGTTCCGGAACTGAGCAATTTAGAAATCACGGGAAACAATTTAGAAACGTCAGTTCTATTCTCACAATCAAAGCCAGTCTGTCTCAAAATGACACCTGGTAGTCACACCGTAGAGAGACAACTGCCAATCGGGTATCATTAACTCGCGTCATTCCGTAGCGATTGTGAAAATGCACGTCGGTAATACACAACTGATACCAAAAACGGTTGGGCGTGAAATATATATATATATATATATAACCTCTGTTGCGCTGTCATCGCGCGACGCAGCATGAGGCTGGTTGCACTATCTCGCCACGGGGCGCGGTGCCGCTGGGGCTGAGATGCGCTCCGATAACAAACCGAAACTTAAAAACCCGTCGAATTTGTGCGGTTTTTCAGAAAGCCGTAAAATGCTCCGCGTGCTTTCTATCGTTCTGTAATTTGTTGCTTTAGTGTTTTTTCGACGATGCTGAGCAATTTTCTAATTGCAACCATGCCCTTAAACACAATATTAAAAAAAGTTAATTACGCAAAAATAATTAACAACTTAATTATCCCGGACTTTAATAATTTTGCTAAATGGGCCCTTGACCCAGAACCAAAGCGACACAAGCCTTTTTTCGTTGCGATGAGTAGTTTTCGCAGGAGCGATTTGGCCTGTGTTCTCTGAAACACCCTGTGTGTGTATATATATAAACTGTAAATGCCTTTCCGAATCGATGTCAATTATTGAGAGTTAACCCAAAGATTCCTCAATTCATCAAATCATGCCGACTATCCATGGCATGATAATATTGACTCGAAACTGGGCGCGACGAAACAAATCAATAAATAAAAAGAAGCATAGTGGCAGAGAAAGGAAGCCGACAACGCGATCTCTCTCTCTCTCTCTCCCCCCCCCTTTTTTTTTTCTTCTCTATCATTTTTTTTTTTTAATTCCCAGTCTCCCTTTAATACCCTCATGGTAGACTTCCACCAGCTGACCTGCACACTAACCGTATTTTAGTTATCCATGGCCGCTTTGCAGTCCAGCCACTGCACTCTCGGAAATAGGGGCGTAGTACTTACGCTCCTTGTCCCATATATAACACCCCCAAAAATTGTACAGTTCGACGTTGAGTCCACTGGCGTCGTACCATCGTCACCAACTTTCACGAGCGGCTTTGAGAGTCGAGTAATACAACTCATTAAATTAGCTAATGTACGCATTAAAGACTACACGAAAACACTCATTGTTATGTTGGCTCAGCGGCAAAATCTGGGGTTTTTTTTTTTCTGTAGCTTTGATAGGTACATTAGCTATTTCGTAAGTTCTATCACACGGCAATCAAGCCGCTCGTAAAAGCTGGTATCGCCAGTTCGACGTCACTGGACCGAACGTCTAAACATAGTTTTGGGGTGTCATAAATGAGGCAAGCGGTGTAAGTACTACACCCTATATTTCTGAGGGTGTGCAGCGCAGTGGATATACTGACCTTTTCAACACAATGTCTTTGTACTGAGTTAAAATCTAAGTCGCAGACGCGCTAGTAACACATAACACAATACACGGCATGCAAACATGATGAGAGCGTCATCTTCGCACACGCCTCGCGCATGACCGAAGTAGGCTTGCTTCATACATGCTTCAACATGTCCGCAGACAGTTTTTGTACGATAACCGTAAATGCGTTCTTTTTATTTTGAGGTAGCATATAGTGGTTAACGCGTTCCTTTTATTTGCAAGTAACGAGTAACGTATTTCGTTACATTTTTTTTTTGTCGGTGATGCCTACAACATTGTGCTGTACAGACCGCGACACAGCTAGAACGAGCGAAATTCCTTTTAACGCTAAATTTAGCGGGGAATGTGGAGTCACGTGGACGTGACGTCACCTATACACCTCGGGGAAATTGACGGCACCTACACGTTAACTCAGTTTGCCCGCTAAATTGAGCGGAAAAATTCACGTCTCGTGGCCAAACCATCAATTGTTTCCCCGCTACATTTAGCGGGAAATTGACATGACGTGACCTATACTCCAATTCAATTACCCGCTAAATTTAGCGGGGAAATTCACGCCTTGTGATCCTGAGACACCGATTCCGTTACTCCGCTAACTTTAGCAGGGCAAAATCGACGTCACGTGACCTGCCGTTACGTAACCTATACAACCACTCACTTTCCCCGCTAAATTTAGCAGGAAAATATACGACATGTGTTACACCGATTTCCTATAACGCCTTTCATGCATATAGAACTTTAAAGGTAAAAAACGCTGCCACATTTAATTTTTTTTTTTTTTTTTTTTTTTTTACAAGGGAAACATTTTGACAAAAGTTGCTATACTTTGTCTCATCTTACGATGGACTAAAGGCCAAAGCCACGGGCCGTCAGGTCGAATCACGTTCCACGCTATACTATGACACGCTTAAAGGGGCCCTCCGGAGCTTTCTGCGATCGTCTGTTTCTATTGTTATATTGCGTAGTAGGTGCAAGTTAATATGTATACAAAGTTTTAGATTACAAACCCGTTTATTAAGCAGATGGCAGAAGAAATATATAGGGACTATTTTCTCTTGGAAGACAATCCCCCATTCCCTGCCCATCGCTAAAACTTGACCAATGGAAATGCTGCGCCCCGCGGTGAGTGCGAACGTTATTATTGCAACACTTTTTAAGCTTGTTGTAAATTAGAGTTTGAGAAAAACGTAAACTGATTGTGGTGCGGGAAACACAGTCCGCAATTATCGCTCCAAAACCAGCGAACTATGTTTTCTCCCCGCATGCTTGTTGCTAGGGGGTGATGCGTCGGCGCGTCGGCTCGTCTGCTTCCCGGGGCGTCTGCAGGCGTGCGTTTGCGGGACACATGTTCCTTCTTCCCGTGGATCCCGACTCCGAAGCCAGCTTTCCGATCCTTCCACGTCAACGAGTCAAACTTTTCCTTGTCATCTGTGGGATGCGACTGCGTATTGCAGTAGCAGCGCGACGGTGCGGTGCGACGAACGATGACTGCCGAGCACAAAGTCCGGGTTCCTTGACGGCGGTCCGCGCGTGTTCGAGGGATTCCTCCACGGGTCGGCGGTCGGCGGCGTTGGTGACGCACAGTGACGCCGGGATCCTTCGCTTGCTATTGGCTGACGCGTAAAGAGATGCCCCTCCCGTTTTCCGGGGTCATCTCAGAAAGGGGGGCGTGCCGGTGACTTTGATAGCAATTTTAGTAGGGAAATCCGCCGCGCATGACCGTAATTTTATGATTTTTAGGATCCTTAGGGCCTGCAGATTGCGTTACCGCCATAAATAGACCATCGCAGAACGCTCCGGAGGGCCCCTTTAACATTGATGAGGGGTGGACGAATAATGCTCCGAATCCAAAAGCGCCGCATCATTTCTATAGCTTCGACGCTGCAAATAGGCTATATGTCATGGCTTTCTTTGCGATGTAAAATTGTTGAGTCATTCAGTGGTCTTCGATTTGAACCACTGGCCACCCGTCCCCTTATCAGTAATCCAAGACGCGGGCACCGATACGTGCATCGAAGCGAAATACCGCACAGTTTTTAAGTGGCTCGTGATTGGATCTGGCGGTCCGAAGCTTTTGCCTTTAGTCCATCGTAGGGTGAGACGAAGTATAATGGGGGAATGTTTGTTTCTCTTGTACATTTTGATGTCCCTCATTGCGTCCTATGAGGAAAAGCGCAGAAAAACGCCAACCTATCCTGTCTCGCGCTCGCTTTGCCGCGCAGTGTAAGTACATAACTAACGAGAAATTATCTATTAGAGAACGAAAGTGAAAGCAAACATGATTATAGTCTCCGACCACTGGAGTGTGTCTTATTATGTCATTGCTTATTTTGATTCTTGATTGGTTGTCCGGCGTTCTTATCGACTAATGCCGCACTCTGATTGGCTGCGAAGCGGTATAATGAGGTGCCTGAGAACGTATACACGAACTCAACTCTCCCACGTCACGCCGCGGTGGTGGCGCGTCGAACGCACTTCCGGTCTGGGGCGGTGGGCAGAAGTCGCCGTGCGAGACATGCATTCTTGTGTTCTTTTCAGGGAAACCAGACAAAAAGCCTGCGTTCTCGTCAGAATGCTGCGACGGGGGCTGTACTAAAAGAGTCTGGAAAGGTTTGAAGATCAGTTTTCATGTGTTTCTGCCCGCTCCGTTCGTCCGAGTACGTGGATAGTAGCCGTGAAAAGGGCAAACCAGACGCTGTCGAACTGGGATTGTTTGTGCGGGCAACACTTTGTGGTCGCCAGATGTATTTGTTTTGTTCCAACATGAACGAGAGAAAACCGCCAAGTTGTCCGGGCCACCCGCGGGTTCAGTGCGTCTACAAATTCACACGGCCGCCTGGTCGTTCGAACCTTCGTCTGCTCTTTCGAACTTGCCTGCTTTTTGTCGTCTGCTCGTTCAAACAAAAGCGGCCCGTAGACCAAACTTTGACCCGGTGATAGCAATAAGAAGTAAATGCAGGCCTCAAAAGACTTAAGTAGGCTCGGTATAAACAGTAGATACAAGATGTTGATGATTGGTACCAGTGGCGATCACCAACTTGTTACGTTTGGTTTGTTCCCGCGTCCGAATTTCAGTATCGACGTCGATCATCGCCGCTACCTTCTACACTTTTGCAGCACGAGCGACGTCGCGACCGAAAATATCTAAATCTCATCATGGTTTTGGCGTCCATTTCTTCGGCGTTCACGCGAATGAATCGCCGCACGTCAAATTATTTACGCAAAGTTTAGCGGTGTAACGAGCATTGATAATTTCGCTCAGGCGATTCAAGTGGTAAGACATCGCTATGAGGACGTAGAATCGACAATTCCAACGCGAAAAAGAGTATGCAGACTCACACAGACGCCGACAACGTGACATTCGAATGGTTTGTTGACGCGGGACGCGGTGCTTCTTGCCCGCACTCTATTGCGAAAGCGTTCGAAATGTCGTCTGCTCTTTCCAACTTTTCTGCTTTTTGTCGTCACCTCGTTCAAACGGCAGCGGCCCGTAGACCAAACGTTAACCCGGTAATTGCGATAAGAACTAGGTGCAGGCCTCAAAACACTTTTGAAGGTTGGTTGGGGTAAGTAGGTTAAGTGTAAACAGTAGAAAGAAGAATTGAAGAATATGTTGATCATTGTTACCAGTGGCCATCACCGATTTATAATGCCCGATTCTACTTGCGGTTTTCAGTAACGACGTCCACCATCTCAGCAACGGTCCACGCTTTTGCAGCCCGAGCGACGTCGCGACTGAAAATAGCGAGCAGAATCTCATCGTGGGTGTCAGGCTTTACCGCTCATTCACACTGGAAGCGGATCCGCGTTCGCAAAGCGGTTGCGAACGCGCCTGTATAAAGATCCAGTGCAATTGCACGCGCACTCGATGACATCAAGTGCGCGTGCAATTGTACTGGATCTTTATACAACCGCGTTCACAACCGCTTTGCGAACGCGGATCCGCTTCCAGTGTGAATGAGCGGTTAGAGCCCATTCTGCCGCGTCCACGTGAAATGAATCGCCGCAAGTCACATTATTCACGCAAAGTTTTGCCTCCTTAATTTTACTGAAGCCTCTCCAGTAGTCAGACATTGCTAGGAGGACGTAGAATCAACAATTCCAACGCGAAAAAGAGCACGGGAACTCCCACCGACGCCGAAAACAACGCAATTCAATGGTTTGTTTATGGGCGACGGCGGGCTTCTTCCCCACCATCCACCGCGCATGCGCGGCGCCGGTGGCGTCCGCTAGGGGCGCTCCGGTTTGTTTGTAAACATGAGTTGGTGTATACGTACCCAGGAGTAAGGGACAGACCCTTGCTCTGGTCCATCCCCGACCGCGGGGGCGTCCAGGCCGTTGTGCGTCGGATCGGCGAGGGTGTAGGTCCGGCCGTACGTCGGAATGCCCACCACTATCTTCTCTCGTGGCACTCCGATCTGCACCCAGTACTCGGCCGACCAGGCCTGCAATACATGGGACGTGTGTCCTCGACCACCGGGCCGCGTAGCAAGCAAAAGCGCGTCACGTAATACACGTTTGCAAGTTCGGCTTCAGGGCGCTGCCATCTTGCTTGACTGGGGTGCGTTTGGGCGAGTCATAATCCGATTACGAAGCCTTGCTAGGGCGTCGCAATCGGATTATGGCCGCACCCAGGAGCGCACCCCACTGAGGAAGATGGCGGCGCCCTGAGACCGGACTTGCAAACGTGTATAGACCCTTCTTTCGAAATTTTGAAATGATGCTCGAATTATGTGCGGCCGCCATTAGTAGGTCGTGCACTGCGAGCATGGATTGGACACGAGCGCTTCGTCAACATTCGGACAGTGCTCGGATGGAAACGCGTTCCACACGAGTGCAGCGACGGTGCTCGGCGCGAACTCGGAACCAATCACGTGCTCCAAATGGCGGCTGCGCATAATCTATGCATAATTTAGGAATGGGTCAGAAAGGGTCGATGGGGCAAACTTTATCATTGATTAGCGCGTTTTCGTGGACGTCGATCACACCGCCTGGTTGGGGTTGGGAGGAGGTGAGGCCCGGGGCTTAGGTAAGCACAGCTCAGTGACTCTGGGGCAATGAGGATACTTGGGTAGTAATTCCAATACAGTAATTTAATTACTTTCTTTGTAATTTGATATGAATTCCTTTTGGCTAAAAGGAATTGTACCATATTGTCCGGACTATAGTCTTCGGACTATACAAGGATTTGTTTTTTTCTAGATCGTTCAGTGTGACAATATGTGAAGGACTATGAATAACGGAGGATAGTAATGTGGATTTATGTATGATACAAGCTTTGTGTTGAGCTATGATACAGCAGGCACTTGTCAAGGTGCGCGGTGTATGATCATTTTTCCGTTTGGATTGGGCACTAACTATACGGACTGTGCACGACGTGCGGACTACGCACAGGGTGCGGACTATCTAGGCAAAAACTTTTATGTTTCACCCAAAATTTGTCCCGCGGACTATAGTCCGGAAAATACGGTAATTGTGATTTAATTACTTTCTAGCGTCAGTAACTGCAAAATTTCAGGCACAATTACAATTACTTTTACAAGAGTTTGTTGAGCCAACAGAACCTCTCTGAAAGCCTCAGCGCTCGCAGAAGCGGCCTAGCGCTCGGTGACACACCCGCACCACATAGGCACGCACTCACATACATCCTAAAAAAAATAGCGTCGCAGACGGCACCCTGTGGCGCCATCTGCGGTGCAAGAAGAAAACAATTGCGTTAAGTTTCCAAAGTATTGAAAGAAACAAAATTGAGCTTCAGCTTCCAGCCGAGGTTTGGGATCTTAATTTTCTATAAACTTATTTTTCTTTTCTTTTTTTCTTCTGCCAGATTTTTTACGTTCCTTTTTCAACACTGTCGCTTTTTTTTTTTTTCGCATTGTAATCCAGTTAATTTCCTGTGGTTCTACTTCAGATATTATTTACATAAGCATTTTGAAAACTGACGTCGCACCTGTGATTATGCACTGTTAGAAAATTCCATCAATCTACGTAGAAAAACCGAATAGAACATGTCCCATTTTCTGGAAATGCATACAATGTGCGGTTTGCTTTCAAAAACGGGAACTGTACCATATGCATTGAAATGTGCTATTTAGGCCATAAGTATGAGCTTATCCGTATAAATAAAAAAAGCCTTACTAGACTACAGTTTATAGTCGGTTCAACTGGTATAAGCGAATTGAACACGCCCAAAAGTGCCGGATATCCAGCAATTTTTATGGAACTCTATCAGACCGCGGAAGTACAGTGCCCGTGAGCCGTGTTACGCCGCGCGCAGGAAGACATCTCTCACCCGCGCATGCGCAAGCCGCTGCCGGCCGGCGTGGGCCCGCGAACTGCGGAGTGCTGCTGCCCGTTCGGAAGGCGAGTTCGACGTTGTTATCGCGTCGTCAGAGGCGTTCAGCGGTGCGTAGACGGCTTTGTTTTCCAAGGTACGTATACGTTAAGTTGTTCCTAACGCAGTGTTATTTTACTATCTCTAAGGGTGTCGTATATTCCAAGTTCGGGATGCCCAGCGTGTAGCGTCTCGTCTTCCCAGCTGCATAAAGCTAGCCCTTTTATAGTTCCTGATTCGGGGCGGCATACTGCCCGACTCTACTTAGTATTGATGGTATGCTGCGCTGCGTGGTTACGCGGAAAAAAACTGGAGAAATGAAGTTAATGCAGAAGGACAGACAAAAACATGCATGAATTGGCGCAGACTAACAACTGTTTAATTTCTTTCTCTTTTTTCTCCCCCGACCCGTATTTCCAAAATTGCGGCTAAGAAAACGAATGGTTGATGTGTTGAATTTGTTGGCTTCTGAACTTGATGGTGTTTGCTGTAGCTGCCTCTTTGATATACGAACTGGATGGTGTGTTTTTGTAGCGTTTACCTGGGGCCTGGTGTTTGCTCCGACAAGTTTGGTATCTTATTGGGTAGATCTATTTCTTCTTGTCGCAAAGCTAGTGATGGCTCACTGACGCACGCTCCGTGTCTACCCGAGGCCATGTGAAAAGCCTCGATTGGGTGCCTTCATGTGCGCTTTGCTTAGGGTGGTGGCATCTCGCCATTTTGTCACACACGTTTATTTTTATTTTTTGTTCAGAAGCGCGTGAAAAAGAGTGTCCCTGCACGCGCTTGTGGCGCTGACTGTGCTATTTCGACATTTTGTTTTCATCGATTTCTTTGTATTTTTCCCGTGAGCGCGTGCTGTCGGCATGTGGTACTACAAAGGGTGGCATCACCCTAAACAGAAGGACATTGAGGCACCCTAGCCTCGATTATTTCACGCTTTGTTCTGTCCTTTGATCTAGCCAAGATGGAAGTAGTGTCAAGGAGAGCTTTGCAGTTGCATTTTGAACAATGCGCTGCAAGGTTGCCAGGTGCTTGCAGTTGTCCGCATGCATGGTTGTGCTCCCTTAGTCTCTCGTTAAAGGGCAACTCCGCTTGATTTCGGAAATTTCGAGATAGTGGGTGATATAAACGTGAAAAGCACTTCAAAACAACCCTAGACCATTTGTCTCATTAAAAGCAAAATATCGTTCGTGCGATCTTGTTATTTACCACGATCGCAAACCGAAACTGAAACTTCGGCACAGCCGGGCAACATTGTACTCTCAACGTCAGTTGCATACGCACCCACGTGGAATACAAGGGGTCACGTGATCTACTAGCGGTAACCCAAGAAAGACGCGGATGCGAGGGGAAGGGCGAGGAGGGAGGAGGGAGGGCGGGCCTAGCCGCGGCGGCGAACAGGCAACGCAAGCAGCAACGAAGCAGGCTATGTAGGCGGCAACCCAGGCGGCTAGTCGGTTGGCACCGGTTGGCAGGTGTGTCAGCGAAACTCATCCCGTACAACTCTCTCTTCCTCTTTTTGTTTCTCTTGTTCTCGTTCATTTTTTTTTTTTTTTTTTTTTTGTCTGTCTCGTTTACTTATCTCTATTGTTGTAGGCTCGCCTCTTTGCTTGCTCAAACGTGGAGCGCGTCCGTAGCGCCGCCCGATAAGCTCTCCCTGGAAAAGAAAATACAAAGAAAAAAAAAACTGCGTATGCAACAGACGTCAGCCACAACGGAAATACAACGTTGGCTGCGCCGCACGTCGCCCGCTAAATTAGCGGATTTTGGTGACTTCGCGCGTCTCAGTTTTTGTTGGCCGGTTTAGTGATCTTTTAGGCGGTATTACGTTATAATATTTGACATTCGGTCTCTCTAGATGACACTAAAGAGAGTCGCAGTGTTTGGTAACAACCGAGAATGAAGCGGAGTTTCCCTTTAAGGCACCTCCCAGTCTGCCCGACTATGGATCTTCCACACGACAGTGGTATTTTGTATACCACACCTTCGACACATTCAACAAATTTGCTCCTGTGTTTCACTTGACACAGTGCCTTGCTGTTAGTCTCGTCCACTTCATTGTTGACCTTCCTGCGTAATCCTTTGAGCCTGAAAGGGGCTGATAGTGACACTCTGACTTCGTACCTTGCGGCGATGTTTTTTATCCTGTTTTTTATCCACGAGTAGTAACTTCAGCGCACTGTTGCTCTTTTCACGCGCTCAAAGTCTTTCTAAAAATTACTGATTTAGGGGTTTTGGACGACGCTCAGCAAAATTTCTAATTGGAACCATATGACTATTTTCATTAATTAAAAAGTTAATTAACGAATTTTAATTAGTTAGCCGACTTATCGCGAAGATTAACCACCCCCAAATGCCCCCTGGGCGTATAACTCACTCGCACAAATCGGATAAGAGTAGCTTTCATGGCTTTTTTTTAAAACAAAACTGTAAAAAAAAAAAAAAAAAAAAAAAAAAAAAAACGCTCGGTGTTGCAGACGCATAACGATTCCTCAAACGTATTGCAGTATTCCCATATATATATTAAGGGTTTCATTCAGCTTGGTTACACTTTCGCTGAGGCATTTTCAATTACATTAAACAAAGTGTCTAACTTTCGGCAGCAATTCGGAAAGAAATATGTTTTGTAGAGCAGCATATTAGCGTTAGCATTTGTGTTTGTTTGGCACGTTCAACAGCAACCTGGAACATGTTGTACCATGTTTTTGTTGAAACGTTGAACTAAGAAAGGCAAAGGCCTGATGTTAACGTGCTGCTTTCTAGACACCCTTATTCACAATTCGCTTGAAAATATTCGTAGCTCACATTAATTGGATGTGCTGCAGTAACTGCGTGACCTGCTTGGGAGGACCGTTTCTCTGTAAGTCAAATTATTATGTTGCAATATAATGAAAGAATCAGTATGGATGTGGTATTCAGATACATTGTCATATAGAACCAATACTAGAACTTGTGCATCCTACGGAGCATGTAACTTATATTTTAATCCACCTTAGTATCGATCGGCTTCAAATACATGAGCCCTTGTTCTGCAGGGGCGCACGAATATACCTGTGACCGGGCTATGCTTATCAGTTAGAATAAGTAATATGAACCAAAAGACATGAA